CTTAGCAGTTAACTGCGAAAGACTTGAAGTGAATGTGTGTCTTTTGTCACCTATCAACGGCAAAAGGCAGCTGTTTTTGGGCAACTATTGATTCAAATAAACGCCCAAATGCTTACATGTCTGTGCCAACTGTTTGTGGCAACAAACAGCTGCCTGTCTGGCTGACTGTCTTTCTGTCTCTCTCTCTCGCTCTCCATCTCTGTCTCTGTGTCTGCTTGTGGCCATTTGTTTGTACCAAATTGCATTCGTAGCTGGCAAATGAGATTTGTGTTTGCTATTTGGCAGTTAACTACAAAGTTAAAGTTGACACCCAAATAGTATGTCCCTGTGGGCTGCGTTATGACCACTAACAGCAACAGCAACAACAACAACTAGTTGTGAAACGCCCCTGCAATTAAGTACAAATGTAGCTGCTTAAAGCCTGGTCAAAAGGTCCAATTAAGTTGCCAATTGGCAGTAGCAGCGCCTATAATTAAACAGCCAAAGGCAACACTTGCCTAGTATGCGTGTGTGTGTGTGTGTGTGTGTGCATGGCCAGGACACACCTTGGCAGCTGCCCCTCCCCCTCCTTGTGCTCCTGCCCCTGGCTGGTTGCCTACACGCACGCAAAGCTCGCATAACTTTCGAGCACACTCGCACTTTCTGGCCTAATCCATTAGCTTTTTGTCTGCCACAACTTTTGCCCCAAAAAAGCCAAACTCAAACACAAGCTCAGCCCGCCCCGCACCCTGTTCACAATATTGATGAGCCATTGGGGCATTTGTTTAACTTTTTACCATGTTGCTCTGTAATGTGTTTATTTATATATATACATATATATGTATGTATGTCTACGCTCTGTTCGCCTTGCCTCTGGCTCTGTCCGCCGCCCGCCCTCTGCCTACAGTTGCTCAGCATTGTCCTCGAGGATCTGATCATGCCGTTCCATGGCCGTATACGAATTGCAATTGTCTCGTTCTCGCTCTCGCTCCCACTCTCGTTCACGCTCCCGCTCCCGCTGTCTGCTTGTCAGTCCAGTTGCTCTAGCTGGATGCGACTGTGACTGGGGCAGCGGCGGCGGCGGCTGCTTGGGCCGCATGGGGCGCCGACGCTGGGCCATTGCCTCGGCGCTGAGATTGCTCAGCGCCATCAGCTGCTGCCTGTGACGCTCATCAAAATTGTAGCCCTGCTGGTCATCCTGTCTGCTGTGCTCGCGCTCCTCCTCGGGTGCTTGGGTGCAGCTGAAGAACTTGCCCAGGCTGGTGCACATCTCGCAGTGCAACTGGTTGCCAAGTCCAAGCACAGCGCCTGCTTTATAGCACCGGCCCCATCGGCTGGCCGTGATTAAGTGTTCCAGCTGATAGCAACACAGTTGACTGACAGTCGACTGACAGCTGTTTTTATCCGATTAGACGATCTCCGATGGCTTCGCCGGGTGACGCACAGCGGCCATTTAATGGCTTTGCCGGAGCAGCTAAGCAGTTGGACGACAGCTCTTGGCATCGACGGCATGTGGAGGCACATTCTGAGCCGCATTTTCTGCTGCTGCATCAGGCACACAGCTGATGCGGAACTCTCCAGGAATGCGGTATCGACGCTCACCTTGGAAATTGTCATCGTCGATGAGGAGCTCGACAATCCCATGGTGAGTGCCGTTGAACTGAATCGTATCGCCACCTGGCCCAATTCAATGGTACTCTAAATTCTAACTCGATTAAATGAGATAAGCAGGCGTATACTTAATAAAAACAAATATTCTTATAGAATGCGTCGTCGGCAGCCTCTGGATAGGGGTCAACTCTTGGACACTAGATCTTAGATTAAATAGGCCATCATTTTCGATAACTGAAGAAAACGCTTTGCACAAATCATAATTTATCAAAAATGTCGTGCATCGAAGATTATTAAAATGACGAATGTCCTTTGCGGAACTTGTTCTAGGCAAATCTTGACCTGAGTACGCATAACATATTCCGCTGCCTGCTTAAATTCTCTTCTCAAGAATAAAACCATATCATTTTCAGTTTATCATATTACTTGTCGATATATCGTGTCATTTCTATAATATCGATAGATAACGACTTTGGGACATGGTTTATTACATATGGCATTTTTTTTACTGGACTTGGCCTGGGTGAATTTAATCCTGAGTAAATCGTAAACGTTTCTGCCTATTTTCCAAATATCGATAAATGTCGATTTGGAGACTTGTTTTATTTTAAGCTTTGTATTTACCATTTCAGGGCGATATTTCTAGAAAATCGATAAGTTTCGATTTTGAGATTTAGTTTTTTATGCATAAAAAAATGGGGAATAGAACATTCGCGAGTTCTTCGATTAGGCGAATCTTAACCTAAGTAAGGCTTAAATGTATCTCTGCTTGCTTTTAGGCAACTTACATTTTTAAATATCGATAAAAATCGATTTTAAGACATGGTTTTTCATGCATACAGGCCCAATATGGGAACAGATTCATGATTAAATCTAGAGCCCTGTGCTTTGGTCTGAGCTCACATTTGTGTGGCATATTTAAGTCCACCCGAGCTATTTGCGAAGACGTGTGTGTGCGTGTGGAAGCTGGAATGATTGTTAAAAGTAAATTGGCACTGTGTTTAGTGTATCTGCTAGTCGAGCACTCCCGATCGCTTGATATTCCTTTCCCATCCATTTGATCAAACTTTAGTTAAAACAAAGGCAAAGGCAAGGCAAAACTCATGCCCATTTCTGTTTTTGAAAAAGAATTATGTTCAATTGGGATTGATGGTCATTTTCTAGCCCAGATAGAAACTGGGCTATCAAAAAGTTGAGCCCAACCAGACAGGAATATAATTTGCCATTATCGACTTATGGACTTAATCAGCTATTAAATTTCGCGCTTAGGCATCAATTTTTTGTTGGGGCGCGATAAGGAGCTGCCTGCCGCAGCCCTTGAACATTATCCTGGTCGCTAAAATGAAACCTGAGAGACGCCTTTCCGGTGCCCCGCCACATGCTCCACATCCGGCACTTCCGCAGCTGCTTTCGTTGCTGCTGCTCCTGCTCCTTCTCTTACTGCGCCTGTTTATGTTTTTATTCTGGGCGGAGCGGGCAGCTCCTTCATATTTTTGGTTGGCAGCCATCAATCAATGGAAGCCGCTTGAAGTTCACGCTCTGAATGGCCACTTAAATGCCATAAAATGCGGAAATTAATGCACTCCAAAGCATTCAAATAGATGGCGGTTAAGGGGGCTGGATGAGGAGGGGGTGGCGAAGAGGGAGGAGCAGGTTAGCTCTGCTCTATATAGCGGAATCAAGTCCTTAACGTTGATGGCGCTCGCGGGCCACTCTGATGATTAATTGATGGAATTCCTCGAGTGCCTCGGCACAAAACACACCCACAAGCAGTTCCGTCAGCGGTTGGCCGGGGGTCGACTTTGACTTTGCTCCCTTCTAACCGTGATGGGCCCTGTTAATGGCAAACCATTGAGCAGTTAAAAGCGCGAGATTAGCATTTCCCTCGCCTAGTCGTAGACTGGTGAGCTGCTTTGACAAACCCCCGCCACCGACTTCGCCTCCACCCCCTTGTCCGCGTTCGCGTTCGCGTCCGCCTCCCGTTTGTAGCTGCCTCAAGTGGCCTTTGGGCGGCGGCTCGCCAAGGTGTGGCACACGCCAAGAATAATGGGGGGCCTGGCCGGTGCTATGTGTATATTATTTCCGCAGACATTTTGGCGCCGTCAACTCAATATGGAGCACACGACCCTCGCCTCACTCAATCCAGCCCCCATTTACAACTTCCGCCTGCTGCTGCGAGCATTCGCCATGAATCGTATTAGCTGGCGCATTATCCTTACTAACCGCAAATAGTCTGTCATTTGCTATGATTGATTGACTGACTGACTGATTGATTGATTGATGTGGATGCCGCGCTGGGCGCAAGCAGGCAGCTGTTGTGGGCGTGGGACAGCATTGCTCGGCTCGGCTCGGCTCGACTCAGCCAGGAATGCGTTTAGCAGCACTCGTGGCGCCATCTGTGCTTCAACAAGCGCAACTCAACACAGTTTCTGTGCGCCAAGCTTTACAAGTTTACCACACCAAATACAGGGAAATTTTGTACACCGGTTTGTGGCTCAGTTGCACCTGGTGGCTGTCTGAGCTAGGCGCTTGAGCTTTCTTAAGCTTCTTGCAAAGCTGTTGCCAAGGATTATTCAAAGAAAATATACTTTTGTTTAAAAAATATAAGAACACAAGATTTAATTTAAAGAAATTAATACAATTATTCAGTTATCGAAAAAATACCTTATGCAAAAAGAAAAAGTTGATTTAAAAAACTTTTTTTATGCGAGTGTATAGGGTAGTACAGTTATATCCCGATCCCTATGTATATGCAAAATCTTCACACTTTCTGGTTCTATGGAAAAAGTCAGCTAGAAATTTGTTTTCGTAATGGAAACTTTGTTTTGAAACAAATCTCAACTTAATCTTGCGGTTTCGCATGAAATCGGTCTACAATATTATTAACTATATATATTTTTACGAACAACCGATCGGATGTAAAGCGAAAGAAGAAACGCTTCCTATAGTTCCTGTCAAACTACTAATTCATCTTAGCTTAAATTCTGACAGCTGTCAAGGAACGTTGCTGCCACCTGGCGTTGGCGTTGCCACCTTTGCATGTCATTTTGACACTTTATTTAAAAAAGATGGAATTAATAAGGTGAAAATAAATTTAATGGCGCTTTAAAGTAGAATTTACAGGTCGAGCTTGCATAAATCAGAATATTATCCTTAAGCTGGGGTGTGTAATTGTCTGGTCTGCTTTAATTTTCTTATTGTATTTTTATATGAAAAAGAATAAGAAACCATAAATAATAATACTGATGTGTCATGTGCTGATAAACTTAGCCATTCGATTATTTGCACATGATTTCCGTCGTTTAAGTAACTTCAAGACCATTTACGAAACCTTCCTGGATCTCTTGCTCTCTCTCTCTCTCTCTCACACACACACATATTCATACGGCTTTCACTTTCTTATTTTGCAGTTAACGGAGCTCGAACAACGCGTCATCGAAGCGGAAGAACGCGCCGAGGAAGCTGAAGATAAGGTAAGCCATTAAATGACTGACAGTTAGCTGGCAACCAACCCCAACCGACCCCCGACCGACCCTATAGCCTGCGACTGGGCACAAAGGATATTAAAACAAGGGTAGCATCCTTGGCATCCAGACGGCAGGCATCAGAAGCCGCGTCTGGGCCTCATTAGAGGCCAGTTTAAAGCATTTAAGCGTGTGCGGCATTTACATGACAATGCGACCATCGGCCATCACAGCCGGGATCACAGCTGCTTTAATACTCTGTAAAGTAGAGGTAGCCAGGGTATATTGCCATGCTGCACGGTTCGATTTTGTCCAAGTCGTATTGCACTATTATTTAAACATCGTTAATAAAGCCAATTAGGTTTGCCACTCCCACTTTTACCACGTCCACTTCTGCCCTCATGCGTTGAAAAATGCATTAAAAGGCACAGTTTGGAAGTCATTGTTGGGTTTTTTCTCACAGTATGTTTACAGATGTGTTCACAGTTGTGGTCACAGTTGTGGTCACAGTTTTGTTCACAGTTGTGGTCACAGTTTTTGTCACAGTTTTGGTAACAGTTTAAGCAGCACACTTAGTCTATTCTGGTTAATGCTTTACAGTTTGAAATTCACATAGATGAATTACAGTTCTAGCATCTACGTTATGTGACTCATTTTCTGCGCCCCAAATCGCAAAAGTCTGTATGACATACAATTTAGAGGCACAGTTGGAAATGTACAGTTTTGGAGTCACAGTTTTGTGAAATGACTCTGAAAGGTAGCCTCAAGGCATAAGCCAAAACCACAAGGCCACGTTAAGGAAACCTTGTTATTTCACAGTTTTAGAGTCGCATTAAAGTCACCGTTTTGGAGCCACTGTTCGTTGTTATAGTTTTAGAGTGCCTAAAGAGCTTTATTTTAAGCAGTTCTTACCTATTTGAATCTTAGTAATCGACTGAGCCCAGAGTATTGCACAGTCGGGCACATTCAAGCGCAGCGCTGTTTTTTACTTGTTTTTCATGGTTGCGGCTGGACTCGGGGGCAGACAGCGACACGAACTTTTGGCACATGCGGGCAAACAAGCGACCGACCAACAAACCCAAGCGACAACAAAATGTTGTCGCCAACTGTCCCCAGACGCGGCTCTGCACAATACATAAATCGTCTTCCGTTCCAGAGCCCGGAAATACGCATTAATGCAATGCTGCGTACGCCGTCCACTGGCCAAAGCCATCCCCTACCCTTCGCCAAAAACCAACCGCAACTGCCACGCCCCACCGCGGCCCTTCGGCCCAACGTTTATTGAAGTTCGTGTGCTTGCAAGTGATGCTGGGCTTTTGCCTCCCCAGTCCCCTTTTCACCTAGCCCCTGCTCAAAAGCAGACTACACAAAACTACCCCGAATGCAAGCAAAAAGCGCCCAAGCCCCTCCCACTCCACCCAACCCCACCCCACCCCACCCCACCCCACCCAACTCGACTCGACTCGACGCGTTTTCAATATCAAATGCGCATTGTTTGCATTAACAAGTCCCGAGGGGCTTTTGGCTTTACCTACGCAACAGCCCAACCACGCACCCCTCTCTCTTGCTCTCAATCAGACCCCCCCCCCCTCCCTTCTCGCCCCCCGACTCCAACCACCATGCCTGTTGCCCAAAAAGCAGGCGAAATGCAAATATTTTCCAAGTTCCAGGCAGTTTTATCTCTCGACTGGGCCCCTTTGGCTTTAGCTTTACCGTTACCGCTGCCAACCACTGTGACAAATTGAATTCTTGTTACTTTGTTTGCGCCGAGATTAAATTCATGTACAAACACGTGGCTGTTAACTAGCTGCGAGCCGGGCGAACGACTACGACTCGAGCCCAGGGGTTGCAAGCCTTTGTTGGGCTTTCAGCAGCTGCCCGAACTCGTTTAAAACAGCAGCTTGCGAGTCGCTAACAGGCTCATTACTTATGCTTCAATTAGACAGCGCCGTGTCGGTCCTTTAAGCTGGTTCAACCATTATAAACTATTAGCCATGACCCACGACAAGCTGGCTGTTAAGGAGTGGAAGCGAATCGCAGCTGGAAATCAAGTTCACAATTAACATTGGCGTCTTCAAATAAACCAGAGCAGGAAGTTAAGGGCTTGGACGCCCTTTTCGACAAAGTCAAGATAAATAATATGCCCAGGTTATACGATTTACGTGAAGTGTAATACTAGAGCTACTATAATTTTCATTTGTTTTGGCTGACTGAGCAACTTCCACCCATGTTCCGCTTGTGTTGGTGGATTTAGCAGTCTCAGTGAATACATGTGTAATTCTGGAAAAAAAAAAACTTTGACCACAACAATGAAAAGAACTTTTGTCTCTTGATGCGAAAACTAATAATAATTAATATATTAAATATATTATAATCGGAAGTCGTTCAATTCATTAGCTACTTAAACAATAAATCGCATTAGTCCTGTATGAGCTTTGATAGAACAACGTTCCCTGACCCTGCGTAGACCCCGGCAGAGCGTATTAAAATCTTAATCCATTCCTAATTGCATTTCCACCTCTTTGTCTCATGCCAATCAAATAACTTATGCATTGAAAAGTAAGAATACAAACATAAACACACTTGAATTTGGCCCCACGCCCGGCAATTAAGTGCATGTCCCTTGGCTGTAGGAAGTGCGGCAGCTCGACTTCGTATGGGGCGGGCAGCCTATTTGCGGCTCGGCGAGCGCTGTCTTTAAAATGCCTTTAAAGTCCTTTCGATTTTTGTTGCATACGCAAAGGCGCACATGGCACACATTGCTCAGTGTTGCAAAACGCTGACAATGCGACCAAAACATGATGAAACGCGCGCGCGTGCGTGCATATGGCAAACACAACAAAGACGCCAACTGCATGTCAAACAGTTTGGCTGAACAGTGCCGCTAAAACTGTAAGCGCAATTTCGGTGGTTGCTTCGCCTAAAGCCTGACAGCAGCTGCCAAAGAGAGCAAGAGGGCGACAGAGAGAGCGTACTGCGAGCAAGAGAGCGCCTGTGACTCTTTAGCTGTGTGTGTACGTGTGCGTGTGTTTCCAATTGTTTTTTATGACTGCAATCAAGGAACGTTTTATCGAGCAACTGCAGCGAGAGTTTTACCCTAAGCTGCAACCTTGTAGTTGCCAGCTGTGTACAGGATATCACATCGAACAGGAGCTGCCAGAGGGGCAGCGGAGGAGCGGAGGCGTTGTCAAGAATCAAAAGAAAGCCAAAAGTGAAACAACCACCGAAAAAAAAGCTGACTGACTGACTGACTGAGAGAACGCGAACGAGCACGAACGAGTGTACGAAAGCAAGCGGCCCACTAAAGCAGCGTAACATAGAGCACAGCGCAAGAGTTGTGCAAAAGAAGACTTGTAGCTGCTCCGACGCTGCTGCACAGGCTGCGTTTTATTATTTTCCGTTCCATTTGTTTAAACAATTTTACTCAAAGCCAGCAGCAACAACAATAAACAAAGACATGATTGGAGCAGAGTAAAGAAAATAAAGAAGAATTATTCGGTGCATAGTAAAAGGCGCGCGGGGTGGCAACAAACGTTCCAAATACATAACCGTTCAAAACTATGTGGCAACTCCAAGACAAGAACAACAAAAAGCAAAAATTAAAAAAAATACATATATAAATTGTGTTTGCATGAAGTGCGTAAAAATAATTAAATTTGGCTATAAAATAAAAGCTTGCAATAGTGTTTGCGTGCGTGTTTGAATGGAAGTGTGTGTGTGTCGCTTGTGCGTGCGTACCTAAAGGCAGCCAAATGTACCAAATATAGTATATTTTAGGCCGAATTTGGCATTGTGTTGCGCAAAAATATACAAAAACCTACAAACACACACAAAGCGGCCATTCACATGTACAGCGTGCATGTGCGCTCCCATGTGCGTGTGTGTGCGTGTGAGCGAGCGAGTGAGTGAGTGAGTGAGTGCCACCCCACGCTGTGTATTGGCGTTTGCGAGAGACTGGGCAGGGGGAAGAGCAGCAGCGAGAGCGAATGCAGGAAGAGAGCGCGCCTGCTGGACGTCGTGAGAGCGCGCGCACATGTCAATGACAGACAGCTGACTGGCAGAGTCACAAAGCAAAAATGGAAATAACTAAAAAAGCAAAAAAAAAAAACACTAAATAAGAAAGCAGCAAATAGCTAAGCAGACAACAATAAGCGTGTGTGTGCGTATGTAAATTGTGACTAAAACTATCTGAAGGAGAGCAGCAGCAAGAAAAGGCACAAATAGCAACAGCAACAACAACAAGCGCGTCTTACACATGCCAACATATCAAAATAGAGACACACACACACACACACACACACACACAAGAAACGTCCATTTACAACAACAAAGCGACTGCAATAACTCATGTATACATGCATAGGCTTATATTAGAGAATTAATTAATACAAATACAACAAGAACAATAACAACAGAAACAACAACAGCAACAACAGCAACAACAACAACAACAACAACAGCAGCAACATCAGCTGCAAAAGTAAAGCTAAGCTTTCGGACTCTGTCGCTGGCTGGCTGCTGTTGCTCTCGGCATTGCCAGCAGCGTTTATAGCTAACCGGGCATTGCCAGACGCAAATGCCGCTACAGCAGCGAACGCGTCAATAACAACTGCCACTAGTACAAATAAGAAGAAGAACAACAACAACAACAATAACAGTAAATTGGTTATTAACCCATAGGCTGAGCAGTGTCATAAAATGTTGCCCTGTCGCCGCGTGGCTGCCAAGCGTCGCCGCTGTTGCGTTTGCTGCCGCCACAAACAAAGACAATGCGTACAGCGGCAGCTGCACTAGCTGCACGAGAATATGAGCCAAAACTCCCTCCGCCCACCCGCTTTGGCACACAACTCAAGACAACTCAAGACAACGACAACAACAACAACAACAGCAACAACAACAACGACAACGATAAAGACTTCAACATTGAAAACGTGCAACGAACCAGTTTTATGAATGGATAACTATAGGAAAAAGGTAAGCGATTGATCGCGTTTCAATTTATCGCTTAT